CCCCCCCTAGATTGGTGGTCAATTAGGGAAGGGCCCTCTTACATTGGTGCTCAATAGAAACAATGCCCTGTTATATTGATAGTCAGTTGGAATAATGTCTCTGACATTGGTGGTCAATGAATAAGGGCCCCCTTACATTTGTGGTCAGTGGAGAAGTGTCTCCTTACATTGGTGGTCAGTGGAAAAGTGTCCCCTTACATGGAGAAGGGTGCCCTTCCATTGGTGGTTAGTGGAGAAGGCCCCCTTAGGTTGATGGTCAATAGAGGAAGTGCCCTATTACACCGGAGGTCAGTAGAAACAATGCCATGTTATAGTAATGTCCAGTGGGAACAATGTCTCTGACATTGGGGGTCAATGAATAAAGGCCCCCTTACATTGGTGGTCAGTAGAGAAGGGTACCTTAGATTGGTGGTCAATTAGGGAAGGGCCCTCTTACATTGGTGGTCAATAGAAACAATGCCCTGTTATATTAATAGTCAGTTGGAATAATGTCTCTGACATTGGTGGTCAGTAAATAAGGGCCACCTTACATTGGTGGTTAGTGGAGAAGGCCCCCCCCCCCCCAGGTTGATGGTCAATAGAGGAAGGGCCCTATTACACTGGTGGTCAGTAGAAACAATGCTATGTTATAGTATTGGTCAGTGGGAACAATGTCTCTGACATTGGTGGTCCATGAAGAAGTGCCCTCTTAGATTGGTGGTTAGTGGAGAAAGGTCCCTTTAGATTGGCAGCAGGTACTGCCCAAGCCCATGGGTTTGTATATACAATATATGTGTATGCTTGATATGTTTAAGTGACACTGAGGATATTGAATCCACTGGATCAGCATGGCAATCAGTCGAAACAATATTTTCAGAAGGAAGTCATCATTGGACATGCGGGGTTGTCAAGCTTCCCGTATCTTTCGTAGGTTGTGCTGCTATCACGAGATCTTACAAAGGTGAAACTGTTAATTGTATGTTGTGTGATTGTAGGAGGAGGAGGGGCCACGCCAGGAACATGCTGCCACTGTGATCCAAGCATTTTTCCGCGGACTTCTAGCCAGACAGGAAGTAAAGGAACTCAAAAAGGAAGCGGCGGGAGACAAGTGAGTTCAATATCCCGACGCGGGACTGACAATCGACTGTGAAGAGCGGAATGAGAACGATCGTTCTGAGATTCTTACTGCCCGCAAACCAGCAGCGTTCCAATAAATGGCTTTTTTTTCCTCTGACTTTCCTTTTCCTGTGTGAAAGAAAGCAATGCAGGCAGTTGTCTGGATATGGCATTGGTGTGAATGAAAGGCAAAGATGGCTGCTAAGTGGTTAGCCTTTCCGCCTTGCAGCACTGGGACTCTGGGTTCTGGTATCTCCAGCTGCAGGATGCTTGAATGGCTTCTCTCTGTGTGCTTTGGTTTCTTCCTACAAGCTTAAGACAATCATGCAGACCAAATGGCATTTGTTCTTTGGCAGGTGGGGAAAGGTTTTGTGTTTCTCTGAATAGAACCATAATCCAAGGCACCAACAGTCAAACCAATGTCAGCGACAGATAGAACTTTATACAAGGCATGAGCAAAAAAAAACAAAAACGCTCATCGGGTACAGGAATGAAGCTCTGCCTTCACTTTAAAGTCCACTAATGAGGTTAGGTGTGCACAACAGTGGCCTGAGCTGCAGTACTGACTAATGACCAGCAGATGGCAAAGGTACAAACTTGATCATTATAGGTGAGATTGTTGACCTGCGCATCCGAACACTGGCTAGTAGTAGTTAGTAACCACCATACCAGAAACATACCCCAGTATTACTACCCTACCACACCAGGAACATGGCCTAGTAGTAGTTAGTCACATTCTACCGGACCTGTAATGTGGAAGATGTTTAATAGCTTATCCAAGCCATTTCTTCAGTTCTAATGAGTGTCCAGAATATACCCCAGTATATATAGACCCCCACCATGCCAGAAACATACCCCAGTATTAATACCCTACCATGCCAGAAACATACCCCAGTATTAATACCCACCATACCAGGAACATACCCCACCATGCCAGAAACATACCCCAGTATTAATACCCCACCATGCCAGAAACATACCCCAGTATTAATACCCACCATACCAGGAACATACCCCACCATGCCAGAAACATACCCCAGTATCAATACCCCACCAT